TCTCTCGATGGCACGCCATCCCATCGGAAGACAAAGGTAATTGAAATCACGTTCGCAAACGTTTCACGCAACGATGGCGTTTGTCGCCGAGCGAGCCAGGATCCGTCTTCGCCGAAAGATCGAGTATTGTTTGATAATCAAGAGGAAACTGTTAATTGGATAGCCGTCGAATCGTTGAGCCGGCAATCAGGCGGCCTGCTAATTGATTTATTCCTAATGAGCCCGGGCCGCTGGTCGTCTCGCTTTGTACACGTGCAAATTCCTGGCTCGATCGGCCGTGAACGCGTAATTCGTAATGATAACGAGACGTTGATTGGACGCCGATTAGCGTCGATGCTTCGACCGGGATTGCTAAAATGTTTTCCCTTTCGCCGATCGTGTTTCGCCGATTAGACGCGATTTTTCTACCGCCGTTGACTGATTGAACTGACGATCGAAAGAGCTACCGGTGCTCGTTGGTTCTTCCGGTTGCGTTTCGATTCGATTATTGTAGTCGTAACGATGTTAGAAGGTTAGACTTGATGCTTGCCGATGATGGATTAGTGACTGTTGTTATTTAATTTTCGGAAAATTAACACATGCTCGCTAAATTAATTCTTCATATTGTAGCCAAGAAAAAAAAAAATATATATACATATACATATGTAATTTTATCAGTATTTCTTTTTCATTGTTACCTCTTCTCTATGTTATACAACAATAAGTAATGCTAATGGATTAATTATTCACAGAATTTGTGAAACAAACAAAAGCTATTCTAGACGAGAGAATAATGAATATCTATTTTAATAACAAGCCGCGCACATTATTATCGATAAAGAGCAAGAAAATTATTTCCCGCTGCTCCATTTAACAAGAAAAGCTACACGAGCATAACCAATCGGCTGCTGGAAGCACTCGCCATCAGAAGTTGTTCAATCGAAGACTGATTTCTGAAGTCTAACTTTCTACTTGTCAGTCAATTTCCAGCAACTTGCAGGAACATCGAACTTATCGAAACCAAAGCAAATTTAATCAACATCGATTTAATCAGTTTAATTGACGTTGACTAGTCGCCGACAGTTCGACTTTATTCTCTGCATTAACAAACAAAAAGTAGAGGCACTGAGCATCTGAAGAACCAACGGAATGAAACAATGTCGTTAATTGTTAATGAAAGAAACTTTCTCTAAGGTATCAACATCAGGAAGATTATTTAGTTTTATATCGTAATGGAATTCAATTTCTTCTTTAAATCGTGCATTCCTCGCGTTTTGTGTTACTGTCATCCGATGGTTTGGCTTTGTCTGTTATTTACGCTGCAATTGCAAACCGTTTATAAGTCGTTAACAGTGTAACCACGTACCTAACGTTAACCGATCGATCGGAGTCGAAAGCACGCGATTGTTGTCCTGCGTATTTGCGCGAGAGAGTTTTTTACCAAGCATGAAAGAGGACTGTGAAACAATGATCAAGCTCAAATTATGTGAAGTATTTTCGTACGCAGCGAGCGTGTTTTGTGTCTTTGTACTTTTACGTGTCTTTAAAATACCTCGAATACATCATTAAAACAGTATAATGTTTCCCAAACAAGTATCTACATATCGATATTTAACACTATCATCACGAAAAGATACATCTTAACGTCTTAATATTTCCCTATATACCTCTCCTCCCCGAAATATTTCTTCAAACAACGGATCAATTAATCCATTACATCTAATCTTTCCATTTTTTCCACCCGCAGCAAGTGCTCGAAACAGAGAGAGAGAGAGAGAGAGAGAGAGAGA